TACTTCGGTTGGCAAGTGAAGGGCCTACAAATGTTTTTTTACAAAAAAAATGTTGGCCCTTTTCAATTCTTAAGCGAAAGTTGACCTATCCGGATTAGACAAGATTTAATGGTGTTAAACATTTAGTAATACCAATCTGTTTTCTTTCTTTTCAGCTGAAAAAGCTTCTCGCTAGTCAAGGAGAGCATCTTACCCAGGCGGGATACACTTTTGTTTCGGCAAATGATCCCCAAATCAACGATTCCCCAGATCCAGAATCGCAAGATCCGCTTGCTTCATCTACGATGGCGTTTGAGGGAGCATCAGTTGGATGACATTCACGAATAAGAGGATAACCAAGTTAAACTGAAGGACGATACGCAAAAACAAATCCCGGATGTCACAATGCAAGATTCAGCTTTAAATCTGTCCATGCATGCATCGCCAAAAGTAAGCACCAATGCAACGCCGGCGCCTGAAGTCGCTTGCAGAGTGACCGACCAGGAAGAAATGGAGGTGTTGCTTTTGCAACCTACGCATGACGGTGCAAGTGTTCCCCCACTTGTGGCAGATGCCTTGGCAGGCCCTTCTAGAGCTGTTGTTCCATGTTCTACAAATGCCGAAAGATCCCAAATCATATTGGTGAACATTGTGGAACATGATCCTGTCCCGGATGGTGAAGTTTTGACAAACAAATTGTGCGCCACATGCTTGCCACTAGCTGACCAAATGATTCAAGAGGCTAACAAGAAGGTTAAGGACACAGCCAAAGAAGTCAAAAGGCTTCGCAAAAGGGCAGAAGAGGCTGAGCGAGCTAAAGTTCAGTCCGACGATCTGGCTCTATCTCTGTCACGAGAGTTACAGGATCTCAAGGAACAACAGAAGATTCCATCAGTAAGTATCGAAATGTAAAAATTTATATCATTATTTAGAACTTTTATCCAAAAACATAATTATTATTTATTCCAGATGAGATTCACAACGGAACCGGAAATAGAAATATCTTATGAGAAGATTGTGGAGATCAATGATGAATCGTCAACCGACAGTCTGTTTGTAGCCAATTTGGCTATATTTTTCTTCGGAACCGAAAGGCTGAAACGTATGAGCTGTACCGGCAAACCGACACCACGTTTCATAAATCTACAGAACCCTGATGGTTCGTTGATGTACCCCGCCAGGGAGCAAATCGACCCAAAGATTTTTAAGTTTATTCACGGTAACTTTTGTTTGGAGTCCATAAGGTGAAGGAAGTATCGTTTGTTGCAAATGAGCATTTCGTTCGAAAATTCATCGCCCAAAAAATAAGCAACATGAATAAGGCCGATGCAAAACGCCTCCAAGTTAAACCACAAGAAACTCTTCAATAGAAGCAGCAACTCTCGACTACACCATTGTTATGACCTTACTTACTATTCCTTTCACTGCATTACTTTGTTAAAAGCGAAGTAGGGTACAGAAACCCTGAATATTGTTGAGATTCATACTTTTTGCATTTCATACTTTATGCTACTTTAAACTAACGAAAACAAATCTAAAAAGTGCAAAATATTTTGTTCAAACGAGGTTAAGGGTACTGAAACCCACATTACTGTTAAGTTTCGTTCTGTTTTGTTAAATAAAACATCAATTTTTAAAATTATATCTATTTTTTTTATTATCCAGAGCTGAGAGAATAAAAAAAAACTTAAAAGAACATTACAATGTATGGTTAGACCATTTTATAAAACCATTCATTTACTCTATTATCAATCTTCTAGATTTAATTGTTCAACTTCAAAAATAAATTAAAATGAATGGTTCAAAATTCCTTTTAAAATCACATACGAACATTAAACACAATGGTTATAAGCAGCTCTTTTCAGAACATTGAATGAATGGTTCAAGAAAGGTTCGCTGAAAAAATATGTATGAAAATTCTTCATTTTCAGTATGGTAATTATACTTAACAGCCTATTGATTTTATGGTTGACTCTCTTAAAACGATTTATGATATGGTTAAAATCATATTATCTATTGTTGGGTTATAGTTTGTAAACCATTGATGATATGGTAACCTGGTGGAAGATAAACCATTCGTAGTATTGTTCAAGTATGTTTAGATTCTATGCGGGTAGTCGTCTGTCACTTCGTTTGTGCTGGTACTCTCTTCTGTCCCAAGCTAATCGATTCACCCCTTGCGTAGTACTAGAATTTCGACTAGAATGGGGTACGTTAATCGTTTGCTTGGGACCAATAGGCTAGTCAAGTAGTGAGCCAATTTAAAATCGTTAGTTTCGAATTGATTGTTGGTATTACCCATACCCGCCCATACCCCATTCTAGTCGAAATTCTAGTTCTACACCTCGTTCTACACTATGTTTGTTTTGATTCGCTATGAAAGTTTGACAGATAAAATGAGGGATTAGTGGATTTTCCTATGTTTCGAGGGGTGAATCGATTAGCTTGGGACCGAAGATAGTACCAGAGCTGAGCCAAAAAGTTTAGCCCGTTTCTTCGGGACCTACTAGCATAGAGGTAACTCTAAGACCACTGGGTCCCGAAGAAAATCATTATTATTTTTGGCTCACTCAGTACCAGAACAACGGTCCCAAGCAGTCCCAAGCTATTTCACTCACCCCTGCATGTTCTGCATGAATCCACACACCCCTGATGTTATCTGTCAAACTTTCATAGCGAATCAAAACAAACATAGTGTAGTAATAGAATTTCAACTAGAATAGGGTACGTTAATCGTTTGCTTGGGACCAATAGGCTACTAAAGTGGTGAGCCAATTTAAAATCGTTAGTTTCGTATTGATTGTTGCTACTAGTCTTAGAGTTACCTCTATGATGCAACTTTATACCCCAAAGCCTCGCCCAAAGCAAACCTCTTCGTTCATGTCGGACTGTATGGGTTCTGTCTCTTTTCTTTCGTCAACGAACCAAATTTAAAATGACATATAAAAAAGAGCATCATAATCTATCGATGTCCGACGCCATTTTGGTAGCTTCCGGTTAAAAAAAGGGAAATATTCAGGGGAAGCATGTCGAAGAGGTTTGCTTTGGGGTATAAAGTTGTGTTGAGCTCAGAGCCGACAGTGTCAGCTGTCGTACCATAGAGGTAACTCGTAGGTAGGTCCTCGGGTAGGTCGTACTTTGTCACAGGGAACAGTATGAGTGACATAGGACTAGAGCAGAGAATCGTGACTAAATTGATTCTTGATTTTAGCGTGATGATCTTGTCGTGCGACAAGAAATTGTTGTTTGACGAGAATTTTTCAGAATGTTCACGGCGAATGAGAACGACCCAAATTTTAGTTTAGTTCAGGAGGAGTACAGGAACTCAGCGATAAGTAATGTATCGATCTCGGTTGATCCCCTTAAGAAGATTCGGGAACTTTAGAGACCTTTAGAGAAGTAGGGAAAATGGATGTAATGTAATAATTTAGGCCCATACAAAAATTCAGCGATCGACTAAATTTTCAATAGCGACCAAAAATATCCATTAGTACCGTCCCAATGACGCGTTCATCTAGATAAAATTGATAAATAGCAGATTTTTATCGATGGGCCCAATCTTAGATTCATAGGCCAACATTAGAGCCATTTCCCCTATATAGTTTGTTTAGTAGTTCCATTATATTTTGTTTCATCATTAACAATTTCATTAATTTAAGGAAAATTGCTGGAACTTTCAAGGAGTTCCAAGGAATTATGGAATATTCCGAGAATTTCAAGAATGATGCTATGCTTCAGGAACAATGCGGGGCAATTTTGTTATTATGATGAAAATTTACGAAACATTAGAAACATTGAAGAACTTCAGGAAATATTCAAACCCTCTAACCCTCTGGGAAATCCAAAGAAGTTCAGAAAAACTAACTTCCGTAAAATTGCGCTAAGTCTAGAGGATGTCTAGAGAGCTTAAGGGAAGCTCGGAGCTCTTTCGGGCAATTCCAATTGGAGGGTTTCTTCCGGTAATTTTGCTACTGTTTGTATTTTTATTTAAAAATCCTTGAAGCCTTCAATATCCATATCAAGAACATGTGAAAGGGCATACAAGCTTTTTGTGAACAAACATTCTTATGCCCTTTTCTCGCCACCCATATGACACCAACGCAAACCATCAACATCACCGGATAGGGGAAGGTGTCCCCTTCCCGATGATGCTGTTAGTTTGCGTGGGCGACCCTCGGTTGGCGAGAAGAGGGCCTAGGTTTGTTTACAAAAAGCTTACATGCCCTTTTCACATGTGGCTCTTGATATGTGGTTTAAAGTGAGTGATAGTGATCTTTGTCAATTAAATCTGTTTTGCTTCGAATTCAGGACTTCATTAAAGTAATAGACTTCGTTTTTTTTCCTTGATTTGTTTTCCGTCGATCTTGTTTTCCGTGCTGAGCACCAATGCTACCGACGCCAGGGAGGCAACTGCCACACCTGAACCCTACCTATAGACTTATCAACTCATGAACCGGGGACCAACGGCTTCACTTCCCGTGATCAGAGATGTTATTCCTCAGAACATCCCGGCGGCGCCGACTAGGATTGAACCCAGGCCTGCTGGGGTGAGAGAGAGGTAATCACGCTTACCACTACACCACTGGCGTCGCTAATAATAGAGTTCGTGAGCTCCCGAATTCGCTGCAAAACAGGACACAGCTTTTTTTTTTATCTATCACTCCCAATCACATTAAACCAAACTATGATGTTTAAGGCATTTTAGATTCGATTTTACATTTGATTTTAAACGAGGTGACAATTGTCACTTCACCATCACTTCACTGCAGTGCAGTGTCACCTTTTTTTTTTTTAAATTCTTTATTTAAGAGATTTTTAGCCTTAGGCTAGTTCATCTCTAAGCAGTGTCACCTCACCTTTCACGCACAATAGGCCACATATATAATTTAAAAATATACAATTTTTAGAAAACTAGAGACTGAACGTCAATAAAAGCTCAAGGTCGATTTGAACCGGTGAAAATTCACGTTGGAATGTAAATAGATCAGTTCTTTTAATAAAACAATTTTATTTAATAACGCTTAAGCATATGTAACTACTGTGACTAGATCAAATATCCCAATCGGACAGTAGTTTCTATATTGCGCACAGTTTTCCATATATCCATCGCTTTCCGCCTGATAGTACGACCGGGGAATGTCCTCGTCCTCAGAAGCAGAAGGGCTATAAAAGCAAAAAATAATGTTCAAGGCAAATCAATTCATTAATATGCATTATTAGACTGTCCACACCTGAAAACAATATGTGCAATGTCCCCGAGCACTCCATTGTGATGATTTAATGGCAGTTCATACGTTTCACAAATTGCCTTATGAATACAGGCAGTCCCATTGTAGCCGTACCTACCAAAGAACAGTTGCGAATTTTTCCCAGTGATTCAACAAATATTAAAAATAAAAATAAATTACTTACAAATCCATTCGTTCCGCCAGCAGCTCGTACACGAACCTCCGGCTGAATTTACTCGCATCCGCGATGCTACGCTTCCGACGCACTGCATCGGCGATGTTGTACCGGGAACTCTTGAACAGGTCGTACCACAACCGAAACTGCGTTGCACTAGTCGGCAGGGCATAGTTCATTTCGAAATTGTGCGACAGAAAGATAGTCCTGCCGGGAATTTCCAGCGGGATGGCAATCGCTATTAGGAACTGGAAAATTAATTGCATAATTAAAAAACGGAACTGATTAAGTGCTAGATTAGAGCAGCTTACCCCATTGGATGCTCCCGTGGGAAAATGCACTGCCGAACGTTGCGAACGTTGCAGCAATTCAGGATTCGACATGCTGATTAGGAATGTGATTACTAGAAGCACGTGGATGGTATTCAACATGATTGGCTGCCTTGAAATGCACAACTAATGACGCAAGTTTTCCTTCTTTTGTTCAACATGGCCCAGCCATGTGTAACGGAAGCAATTTGCTGCAACCTGCTTTGCATGCGCGAAAGGTGTGAAATTCTGCACTGCAAACGTTCTGATTGATTCCCCTACTAGGGTTGCAAGTCTATGCTGCTCAAATTGAACGATTTAGAGTCTTTGAACTGCAGTAAGAACAGTCAGGAGCATAATCAACCTATTTACTTAGTTAGTCTAGTTAGCATTAGCACGAACTGGAGTAGAACAGGCTGAACTCAGAGACTAACGACTACCCGCAGTGCCATTCGAATAACCATTCCTTCAGCATGAAATTCTTCCAAGTCATTCTTATAATAGCTTCAATGTTACCATCAGTACTACTAGACAACAATTCCACCGAGCCATCCGCATCGCGTCGGAGACGAGCCCTCATATTCCCGCGGGGCAATCCGACCCGTCACCAGTTGGTAGCCGGATTAGGCATTCCGGTGGACGTCGTTCTAGAGTCCATTACTGTCGGTTACGTCTTCAAGGCGGTTTACTTTCTTCCCTGGAACTCATCGCACTGGATTCCGCAGTTCCTAAGGCGAGACGAAGATCTGCTCTTTGAACCACCACAGTTACAGCAGCGGAGGAACTTTGTAGAAGTGGAACCCGAGCCGCAACGAAACCGGGCGGAGGAATCGACTGAAGATGAAAACTGGGCCGGGATATCACGATGGCAGGTCTACCGCATGCTGGAAGCTATGGCCGAACAGTAAGTTAGATGCTTGTTTAGTTGAAAATTTACGAAAAATTAACCCATATTTTCAAGTCAATTAAAAACAGTTCTGGAAGGCAAAATGGATCTAATGTTGGCATATGGATCAAAAGATTGGGCCTATCGATACAAAACATCTGTTTGCTAGTGAAAAATTTACAAAAAAAATGTATGGTAAGGGGCCAACGAGATATATTTGAAAATACTATCTAAAATATTTTGATATATTCAGCCAAGGAAGCCTAGGTATTCTGCACCGCGAGTGAGGTGAGCTGATTCTCCATTTGATTTTCACGGATGATTTCCTCACTAGTGAGTCACTCGCGGCGCAGAATAGGCGTCAAGATGTCCTGCCCTTGGTATGGGCAACTTTTGACACCATTTTGAACAGACCACATGGAAGGACCAATCGGAGATTTTATTTAATGACTCGTTTGCCCAGAAGAAGTCCTGATGGCTTCGGGTTGCTTACTACATTACAGAAACTAATTGAAAGCACACAGTAATTACGAGTCCTCCACAGGAAAGGCTATAACGGTCGCAGCTGTCTGCTGCGGACGATTTGCGAAGCGGCAGAAGCGAAATTTTCCCACTCGAGCGGAGTGCTAGGTGAACTGCTGCACATCCTGTTTACCCCTTCAACGACCGACGAATCGACAGCCGAAGAGCTGGACCCAAACCACGAGGAATACAAACGAGCAGAAACCTTAGCCTACCGGAATAGCCCCCGCCGACGGTTTGCTGGAAGTTCGGTTTGTTCGGATATGTACGCCGAGTGCCCATTTTCGTTGTTGGATCTTTTCTCAGGAATACTATGAAGTTCGACATTTGGGTACAATGCAATCCAATAAATTTATATTATGTTTGAAACTTTACAAAAGTTACTTTTACTCGTAAGTTATTTCTTAGAATCAGTCGTTAGAAGTAGTAGTATTAATTATATTAACTTCAAGCATCTCTTAACGCTAACGGTTAGTAGTTCGTTACAGATTAGGTAAAAAATCGTATCAAAAGTAATTTTAGAGTTCAGCGAACAACACTCCTTTAGGTAAAAATCCTATCAAATGTTGTGTAAATGGTGTTAGTAGCAAAAATTGTACAATCAAGTTCAATAAGTTAAGATGCAATAAATAAATAAATACAATAAATAACATGAAAGTGGTACCAACAGGGCACCACAAAAAGGGATGCGTTTCTTGAGTCGCGCGCATTTAGATTCGGTTCTGGCGATTGATCATCTTGAGGACGCTGGTTCCCGTTTGATTATCCGGACAGTACGCGCTATAAGATACAGAAAAGATGAAAACAACGGTTAGGATCTGCACTCGAGCATGCGAAGACTAGCTGTAACGAACTAAAAACCGTTGATTAGAGTATCAGCCATCGGAGGTGTTAATCCAACAACGAAAAATTATTATGAGCTGAAATTCATAAAACACAACTAGGTGCTGGTTCAAATTCAAGATCAAATTCATATATTTGAGGTAGCATAATAAAAAAGGTTAGGCTGAATGTCCAAAACAGCAACGATTTTTCATAATATTCAAAACAGTAGACCCTTAACCGAAATATACGACCAAAATTAATTCGTAGCATCATCATTCCTTACACACCTAAACCGGGATCCCATGATGTAGATCCCTTTCCGCGTCAGCTTACTCTCCTACCCAACTACTTACATGGTATGGCCCTGCTTGCCACAGCACTGGCAGACGCATTCGCGCAGAATCGGACAGGTAACTTCCCCGTTCGGTCCCTTCAGGTTGTGGGACAGATAGATCTCCCTATAACGTAATTAACTTCTAATTAGCTTCAAAACCTTCGCCCGAACAAAAGCCCCAACCTTACCTTCCTTCCTTGTTGTTCTTGCACAGGCTGCAATAATTGCCAGCCTTCTTCAGAATCTCCCATTGATCGCGCCAGTTCTCCTTGTCATGCTTGTTTCCGTTCTTCCTACCGGATCTCTCGAGCGACGATCCACCGCGCATTTGACTCTCTCCAAGAACCACGCGTCCACCATGCACTTGTTCCGGTTCCGGCTTCTTTTGCAGCTTCCCTGCAGCAGCACCAATCAGCGTCAGGTACTCCCCGTACGGATCGTTTTCGTCGTTTTCTCCGGCATTCCACACCAGCCGGTTGGTCAACTTGGAACGGACCAACGAGCCCTGGGTGTTGGCTCCGTTCTTGATGGCTGCCGTAATCATCTCCAGCGTTTCCTGACTGACCGACATTTTATGCTTCTTCAAGAACAATGTCGTTTCACGTGCACTACTTCTAGATTCCGATTCGAACGATGTGAACTCCCGGACGAACTGCAGAAGAATGAGATCTTACGAACGTGGGTAATGAATGAAATTGTATGATTCATTCATAAAAATGCGCGCCAAATTAGTTTCATTCGCATTCTTCGAACGAGGGAGTTTAAATTCCAGTCAGCTGATTTCGCGGGTATTTAAATGTCCCCCACAAACAGAAACGTGAACGCGCAACTGAATGCTGGAAGGTGGAGCCCACGATTCGCTGAAATTCCTGGAACGAAACTACGAATGTTCAAACGGATGAAACACGCGGAAACACGACTGATTTTGTTTGCAGCGGCACGAACACTGATGACGCAATAAATTCTGGAGTCCTTTTTGATTGGGTCGTATGTAACATTTTTGTCAATTAGCGAAACGAGGTGTTTTGTTTTGGTGAACAAAACATTGTTTCTACTTTCAATGAAATAGATAATTCCTTCAAAATTCACATTTACTAACATCTCAGCAGTGCTTCTATCGACTGAGTAAGGTATTGATATTCATCAATATTATACGACCTTTTGTATGCCGTAGTGTTACATTCGATTATAAAGGTAACTCTAATAGCGAATTCGTTTATTATTCAGTTCCAACCTGGATCGGGTATCAAGATTGGGTCTGCTTGTTTTCTGACAAACGTCAGTTTGCTCGTTTGTTTTTAAAACCTAGCTCAGGTTGCGCTGATGTATGCAATTTGATGTAATAGCAAAAAGCAGATACAATATTACATCAATGGATGTAATTTTGTTCGAAAAATCGATGTACATCGTACAACGTTATATTACACAACCGATGGATTGACCTGGTTGCAGCAGTTTGGATGTAATATTCAACAACTTTTTTTTCTGTGTGGTACTCTCTTCGGTCTCAAGCTAATCGACGCACCCCTCGAAACATAGGAAAATCAACTAATCCCTAATTTTATCTGTCAAACTTTCATAGCGAATCAAAACAAACATAGTGTAGTACTAGATTTTCGACTAGAATGGGGCAACCGGAGGAAACTAACGACTTTAAATTGGCTCACTACTTGACTAGCCTATTGGCTCGCCTATTGGTCCCAAGCGAATCTATTAACTTACCCCATTCTAGTCGAAATTCTAGTACTACGCAATGTTTGTTTTGATTCGCTATGAAAGTTTGACAGATAAAATGAGGGGTTATTGGTTTTTCCTATGTTTCGAGGGGTGAATCGATTACCTTGGGACCGAAGAGAGTACCAGAGCTGAGCCAAAAAGTTGAGCACGTTATTTCGGGACCGTCTAGTCTTAGAGTTACCTCTATGATAATACTAGAGCTGAGCCAAAAAGTTGAGCACGTTTCTTTGGGACTTCCTCGTCTTAGGGCTATTGGGCTATTAGAGCTGTTGAAATCTCAGCGAAAACATTTAAGTGTGTTTGTGGTTAACCCAAAGCATGAAGCTGCTCTATCTTTGGAGCTTATCATAGATAGGGAATACACAAGCACAGACATCCTTACTTGTGTACCCCTGAATCAATCAAGAAGTTCGTCCGTTAAATCAGAGAGTCGTGCCGTATTTCGCTTATGATGCAGGAGAAAAAATCTATCCCTATCTACCCAGGCTGGTTTGGTTGGACTCCACCGAGGACTCCACATCAGAATCTCAGCCATTCCCTCCTCAGCTCGTTGATAGATGATTTTTTGCCGCAAAACTGTGTTGTACATCGGCCACACTTATTGTTCGAAGTATTCTTTAGATTTGGCTTGCACATGCAATACATCCAAAGGCTTTTTTTTCCCTTTGAACTCACGTTCATGTGCTTTGATGAAGAAGTCGATCCAAAGACCAGGGCTGGCAAATGTCATTTTCAATGAAAGATTTCATGCGATATTTACAAAGATTCTTCTGTCACTATCATCGGATGAAAAAACGATGACAGAGATTTTCTTCAAAATCTCCTTGATCTTTTTTTCGTAATGACAGAACGTGACGATGTTGTGGTCATCATGACTACTACCCTAATAAAAATAACCATAAACGAACGATAACCCAAATCATTGAACTATTCCACAAATGGTTTGGATGATACCCAGAACACGTCGTTAAGCAAATTAACCATACAATTTTTATTAGGGTATCTCATTTATTGCTATTAAAGTTGTTTGTACCGGGGAAATCTTGAAAATATATTCACTCTACCGATTACATACGGTTGATTGCTTAAATTCATCTACATTAGTTAGAAATTTTGATGTCAAAACCACATAAGAATTATTCTCGTGAGTGCTTGATCATTGAAAATGGCAAGAAACCTCATAAAGTCGATGTAGAATCCGTATAACTTGAAAATTGATAGAAAATTAGCTAAATAGAGCCTGAAATAGAGATAATTTCATCATATTGATTGTTGTTTACCTCCTTTGTTGGCTACAAAGATGTTTATGACTTTGATTTTCATGCGACAAACGTCATTTTTCTTTCGTTTGCGAAAATTGGGCAGTGTTACCTGAACCTTGGAACATATTTTTTTTTTGTCAATTTTCCCATTGAAATATATTTTTAACTAACCAAGGAATTGATAGTTTTTATTTTCGAAAAAATATTCCGTTATTATAAGAGCATTAGGACTATTTATAGCATAGAGATTGCTAAAGTATGATTGTGTAAGTGATTTGTTTTCATCGGGAAAATTTTCCGCTATGAAGTTTTTTTTCCCGATGAAAACATTTTGCGTATACGTATACGTGACGCACACTACGTACGACAAACGTCAGCAATCTCTATAGAGGTAACTCTAAGACCCAAAGGTCCCGAAGAAACGAGCTCAACTTTTTGGCTCAGCTCTGGTACTATCTTCGGTCCCAAGCTAGTCGATTCACCCCTCGAAACATATAAAAATCCACTAACCCTTCATTTTATCTGTCAAACTTTCATAGCAAATCAAAACAAACATTCTGTAGTACTAGAATTTCGACTATAATGGGGTACGTTAATCGTTTTGCTTGGGATCAATAGGCTAGTCAAGTAGTGAGCCAATTTAAAATCGTTAGTTTCGTATTGATTGTTATTTATAGTCTGTTGATGAAAACATAGTAAATAAACAAATATATGTGCTATTTGTTTTTAAATTAACCTCGTATGTTTATAAATATCTAAAAAAAAAAACATGTCATATTTTTCAACACAATAAAATCGACCGCAACACTACTTGCAGGCAGTGTGATGTAGCTAGAAGCGCACTTAGTGTATTTGGATCCTGATGAATGTGGGCGTCTTAGTGGAATACCCTCGGGAATACCTGTATATAATGAGAGAGAGAAGGATTCGTAATTTCCATGTAATTCCACTATCTTATTTCAGGCATAACATTTGATAACGGCACAAAAGCATTTGTAAACAAACTTTCTAAGGCCCTTTACACGCGAACCAAAGTACGCCCACGCAAACCAAAAACATCATCGGATAGGGGCAACTATCACCTTTTCGAAACTGGTATTTGTTTGCGTGGGCGTACTTTGGTTCGCGTGTAAAGGGCCGTAGAAAGTTTGTTTACAAATGCTTTTGTGCCGTTATCAAATGTTATGCCTGATTTGGTTATCTTTGGCTGATGCGCGTATTTCGTCTACAATGTGCAGTCTTCTTCAGTCTCTTGTACCAATACTCACTCGATTATTGGTATTTGGATGTTTCAATGCAAAGTGCAATATTAGGATCAACACTCAAAATATTATCGTCAAATTAAATGGATCATTTTAGATGGCTGAGTTTTGAACCCACCACAGCTTTCATTTGGCGCTACTGTATACGGACGAACCAATGTAAAATACTGTGGTAGCCACAGTACGGTGCTGTCAAAACCTCAGCATCTTCAATGATCCATTGTAAAGTAATAAAACAAGTGTATCTTTAAATACTGCCAAAAATTTATTCATACCAATGAAAAAGTACGATTAATTCATTGCAATAATCACTAATGATTGCAGACATCCTCAAAAAAGAAAACCTCAACATCAAAATATACGGGAGTCTGAGGAAAAGCAGAAAAACCATGTTCGACCGTTTGGCTTGATATTGATCAATTTTTTTCTTGATAACCATTAAAGCAACAATCAATACGAAACTAACGATTTTAAATTGGCTCACCACTTTAGTAGCCTATTGGTCCCAAGCAAACGATTAACGTACCCTATTCTAGTTGAAATTCTATTACTACACTATGTTTGTTTTGATTTGCTATGAAAGTTTGACAGACAACATCAGGGGTGTGTGGATTCATGCAGAACATGCAGGGGTGAGTGAAATAGCTTGGGACTGCTTGGGACCGTTGTTCTGGTACTGAGTGAGCCAAAAATAATAATGATTTTCTTCGGGACCCAGTGGTCTTAGAGTTACCTCTATGGTTATACGACATGCAACGTTGCCGTCTTGTGCAGTACACGACAGCTCGTTCTCAGTCATGTATTTTGTTCGTTCGGCTATGACAGCCTCGGATGGTTATTCGTAACGTTCCTCGTACATACAACAAGCAGTTTGTCGAACTGCCGATTCGTTGCTGCTGTCTTTGAAATTTTGTTTGTGTGTCGTAAGACTGCTACTACACTACCAGCACAAACGAAGTGACAGACGACTAACTGGCAAAGAAATCCATTTAAATAATGTGGTTCACTGTAATAGAATTTTCTTGGAAGCTTGTGCCATCATCCACCAGATGGGTTAGTTTTTTTGTTTTGATTTGAACAAAGTTGATTTTGTGTACAATGATTCTTTGACAGTGTGCAAAGAGTGCGTATCATTTTGTCATTTTTTTATGCATTTCAGTTTTGAGTAGAGTGAAAGAGATAGAACCAAAACATTCTAGTACATTTGGTGAAAATGCTAGTTCAATCTAGTAGTAGTGTTGCCATGTGGTACAATCCAGTAGTAGTGGTGTTGCCATGTGGTAAACTGAAAAATTGAAATATGTAGCAGGTTA